AAGATACAATATAAAGTACTGTATGTAGTACTGAATAAAGTGTTTTTTTAATAAACGCCGCCCCCGAATAGACGCCGCCCTCGAATAAACGCCGCACCTGGATCGTGAAAAATGAAATAAACGCCGCGGCGTCTATTCGAGTAAATACGGTAAAGTGAGAAGAGTTTCTCTTCATTCCAAGTCAATTTTACATAGTTATAATAACGAATCACCGCATTTTGGCTTTGGGCTATTGAACTTGCTATCATTACGTACACATGATAAGCTGTGCGGGACTTATCTTATCAACGAAAAGGTTTAGAGAAGCAAGGATTAGATTAGAGGCCAACCATTTGATTTTTGCCTGGGGGGAGAGGTTGCGTGATTTTTTTAGCAAGAGAGAACTTGCAGTGGCGAATGTTTGGTCTCCTTCGCAGCCGGCCTACCCGCTTGTAGACAAAAGGGTAGGCTGCCAAAGAGACTAATGTAATGCGGGCTGTCTGTAATAGTGTGTCACATCTTGTAGACAATAAAGTTTTGTCCAGCTGTGAAAATGACCTTCTTGTAACATAAAGGCATGTTTAGAATGTATTTCTCAGTTGGGATGGATTTCCCGCCCGCCGCCAGTATTAATAGCAAAGGGGCGGCGGTGACCGAATTACTTAAAGGTCAAATAAAAAAAACTAACGTCGAATAAAGAACTACTGATAATTTTGCGTGAACATCTGTCTAGCTAACAGGACTAGACTTTGAATTTGGAACTTTTGACTATAGATTCATCATTTCTAAGCGTTACAGGTCCTGCRCAAATGATATTCAGAATTATCATACAAAAGTTATCCAAATGTTTACTCAATTTTTTTTTCTTTTTTTTTTTTTTGCACGAGTTCTTCGAGCTTCACGTTCTCAAATTTTGATTGGGGTTTCCTCTTAACATACCCTTCCGTTTATTATATTGTTGTCAAATGTGCACTATCCTGCGGTCAATCTATCTGATAAACCGCTCAGAATATCGATATGCTATCTTTTGAGACCAGAAGGTAGAAAAAAAACTGAACAGCCACACACAGTTGTTAATCCGCAATGTGCCAAAGGTTGGTGCTGACGTATTTTACTAGAAATGCCGGCAGATCAAAAAGAAAAAATTAAAATACGTATGATGTTCGTCATTTTGCCGCTAATTCAAAAAAATCTTGAGTGCCGAATATTGAAAGCTGCATAAGGTGTTCCAGGATAGAAATACATTTTGTCGCTATCTATTTGACAATTCTAAACTTAATTAATGGCTTCACTTGAAGGTACAGAACTGGCATATAGCAGTCTCTCTGAAAAAGCGATAACCCCTTTTAAAGCGGCAATACGACGATATTACTTAATGTTTTCTAAATCAGCTGTATGCTTCAGAGGGGGCATGGAAGTTTTCGAATCGGCACATTCGGCCATTTTTATAGTGCGGAGTTTGGATATATTCAATGGAGGATTTTGCGGATCGCTCATTATGTAAAAAATTCGCCATGCCTTTGGCGATTTTTCTTGCAGGTTTGAACGATTCTTTGATGCTTCGTTTCTTTGTGTGTGTGTTTTTTTAAATTCCTTCAAATTTTCCTCAAAAACGTTTCGCTAAGATGCGTTCAAAACTGTAATAAAACTCACTTGATTTACATACTATTTAACCGCTGTTCCGTGAAAAGAAATAGAGGAAATGCCTTTCTCAGTAGGGTGTGGCGGCAATTATCGTGCCCATCGTTCTTCGGCATATACGATTACTTGATTCAAGTCTTTCAAAAACATTCAAAACGATAACAATATTCCGTCTTGAAAATGAAGAAAACTTTAATAATGACTGTCACCAGATCAAGTACGGTTTAACTTTTCGATGACCAGTAAATCCGACATATCGTTCTTAAACTTCCGTGACACTCTTGACACACTTATACACGTCAAGAGATGTAAACCATACCGCGCTTCCGATGTAATGCCATTGCTCGATATTTTTATAAACCAAATTTATTTACTACTCTTTTGAATATAAATAGAAATAAAAGAAATGCAGTATAAAAACGAACACAGTGTATTTTAATTTCCAACCAACCCTTAATAGCCGACTTTAGATATTTTGGTTCAAGGACCATGCACAAAAGAAATGCAGACGAGGCTCCGGGGAAAGAAAACAATAAATCAAGATTATCCATTGTTTTCCCGTAGTTTTGTAAATAGTCATCGAACCAAAATATCTAAAGTTGACTATTTGAATCATGGATCCACAGACAACAAAGAAGATT